GAGCCGGACACAGCGCCCCGCACCGGCTGCGAGCAGCCTCGGCAGGGAGAGAGGGGCTGTGAACGGAGCCGGGCTATAGCGGTGCCCAGCGATCCCAGGCCCCGCCTGGTTCAGAGCAACTTGGGTTCCGCCTCCCCCACCTACGCTGAGGGAGTCCGTGGAGTGCAGCGAGGAACAGACTTGCCGAGTCACAGCTCTCTAACCACAAGCCCCTACTCCCATGCTGAGCTGCGAAGAGAGGACCCAGGAGTCCTGATGCCCAGTCCCCTGTTCTAACCACTAGCCCACACTCAGCCTGGAATTGAACCCAAGAGTCCTGGCTCTCCTGGGTTAGGCCCATGTCGTTGCCATTCAACATCCTCCTTCCCACCAGAGCTCTTTAACTTACTATACCATTTAAAAAGGAAAAAATAAAATGACTTTGGACCCTGGGCTCACCGTCCCCCCTCCCCCCCGCATTGCCCTTGGCCCTCACTCCCTCCCCAGTCATCTTGCCCATCGCCCTTGGCACCCTCTGTCTCCCTACCCACCTGCCTATCCAGGGCTTAATTTGTGCCCTGGCTTGCCAGGGCTGAGTAAGTCTGCTGTGAAAATTGATATTTGTATGGTTGTTAATATCATTTTTCACAACCTCCCAGCTAGCTAGTAAGTCTGCTATGAAGAGTGATATTAACAAACGTACAAATATCAATTTTCGCAGCAGCAGGCTTACTAGCTAGCAAGTCTTTAAAAAAAAAAAAGGCAACCGAAAGCAACAACAACAACAAAATACAAGGATGTACAAAGCACCTTATTTGTGTTTCTATTCTGTTTAGGTCCAGTAAAGAATAGAGAACTGTATGTCATTTTTATTATTGAGTCTGCAATAAAACCCTATATAAATAACTTATAATGATTTGGACATATAGCTGTGCATATTTATTTGTTTTCCCTAAAGTTAATTAAGTATTTTAAGAAAATTTGTCATAATGGCCACCAGCAAGAGTTGGTGGCCGCACTTTGAGGCCACCAAAAATTTTATTGTGAGAACCCCAGAAGGTTTACTTAGACCAGCCTCTTAAGGTTCCTTCCAGCCTTACAATTCTATGGTTCAAAGAAAAGGATAAGTCCTGTAACTGTTCATCACTGTTTCAGAAAACAAATTAAAACTTGGTCAGTTTCTGTACTGGCGCTGACCATAATTTGTCTTTGCACTTTCGGCAAAACTGTGTTCAGACTAATTGAGCTGTACCCGCTGCTAACACCCAACAGCAACAAACCAAAGCATCTTTGCAGCATGTTTTAAGAGCTGCTAGGTGCACCACATACATTTCATGGTCCACAACTATTATAACAGATTTCCCAGATAACATTAATTCAGTGCAGATGTGTTACATGCAAGCTTATTTGCAATGTGGTCATGCATTGAGATGACCAAAGATAGGAAAAGGAGGAAATATGATTACAAGGGTAATAAAACAAACAGAACACAAACATGTTATATGTATGGTTTCAGAGGAACAGCCGTGTTAGTCTGTATTCGCAAAAAGAAAAGGAGTACTTTGGCACCTTAGAGACTAACCAATTTATTTGAGCATGAGCTTTCCTGAGCTACAGACACTCAGAATGCAATGTAAATGATACTCAGTAAATTATCACTATCTTGAAATCCATATACTTCATATTTGAACAGTATAAGACTATACTCTTTATAATTATCACAGAATTGTTGCTCAGTTTACATTATTCTGACAGTGAAATAATACAAAATGATATGCATAATAGAAAATAACAGAAAATCAAGGTACATTAATTGCTAGCTGAAAAGCAGCAAAATTAAAATTTAGAAATGTCAACGTTCTAGTAAAAAAAACCAGATAGAACAGACAATGTTACCTGTTTGAGATTATTGTTAAGCATTCCATTGGCTTCGTTGCTGGGAATCTGCTGTCATGCTAACAATTAAATAGAAACAGATTCAGGTTTGCAAAGTACTCAGAGAACAAAAGAAACCAAAAGCTCATGCTCAAATAAATTGGTTAGTCTCTAAGGTGCCACAAGTACTCCTTTTCTTTTTATGTTATATGTATATATATTAGGCAAAAAAGTACAGTTCATGAATAACACTTCCCAAGAGGGAAAACATAGGAGATTTATATTCTTCTCTTGAAAATTTGCCTGTGTCAAAGTGTTTCTCAACATTCTTAATTAGTTCTACAATAACATTTAGAGTCATTCTGCTGGGGTCAAGACTCTTCCATAATCTTGGTCATTTTAGAATTAGAAATGGTACCACAGGGGAAAAAAAAGTTCTTGCCCTCTGTATTAGTGGAATTTTCTGATCAAACACCTGTGCCCTCAGATTAGGATCTACAAGGGACCAGTCCTTCATAAAGGTCTCGAAATTTTTACTGCTTAGTTTGCCTGATAATCATTTTAATGTTCATATCAGAACCTTCCAGTTCACTGCAGGTAAGATTTCTGATCTGAATAATCTTTGATTTTACCGCTTTCTTCATCAATGCCATCAGTTAGGACTACAATAATGATATATTTTCCCCACCCTATGGTTTCATTATTTGGAGCTGCTCTTTTAATTGCAAAGAAGTTCTTTTTAGGAAGTTGTGTTCCAAACAGATTTTTGACTGTGTTGGATTTTTTTTTGCCTCGCTTTCTAATAACTGTGCTTAACCTCTAGTTTCTTTTGTTCTCTGAGTGCTTTGCAAACCTGAATCTGTTTCTATTTAATTGTTAGCATGACAGCAGATTCCCAGCAACGAAGCCAATGGAATGCTTAACAATAATCTCAAACAGGTAACATTGTCTGTTCTATCTGGTTTTTTTTACTAGAACGTTGACATTTCTAAATTTTAATTTTGCTGCTTTTCAGCTAACAATTAATGTACCTTGATTTTCTGTTATTTTCTATTATGCATATCATTTTGTATTATTTCACTGTCAGAATAATGTAAACTGAGCAACAATTCTGTGATAATTATAAAGAGTATAGTCTTATACTGTTCAAATATGAAGTATATGGATTTCAAGATAGTGATAATTTACTAAAAAGAAAAGGAGTTCTTGTGGCACCTTAGAGACTAACCAATTTATTTGAGCATGAGCTTTTAATTTACTGAGTATCATTTACATTGCATTCTGAGTGTCGTTCTAAATGATTTATAGCACCCTTCATTACGAAGGATTCAAGAGTGTTTTTGAAATTTAAGACACTACAGATGTGATTTTCCACTGCTTTACACTTAGTATAGCCATTTACACCTGGATGAACTGGTTATACACTACCACCATTCTGATTTGATATCAGTTACTGGTACTATATATCAAATCAGAATGGTAGTATTTGGTATCACATGCTCAGGCAAGATACTAGGGAGGAGTGTACAGAGGCAGAGGAACTGAGATGTGGCAGCATACAAAACACAGCCATTTTGGGGTGTGGCAGAGGGGATGAGGAAGAACACAGAAACATGGTTGTTTTCAGTTGTAGGGTATTGGGGACAGCGCACATGTGTGGCCACACCCAGGTGTGGCAGTAGAGATAACACACAGCTATGACTGCACTGAGGCATGGCAGAAGGAAGCATGCAGATGTGGCATGTCAGGCATGACAATGGTGTAGTGTAAAGACATAACTATGCTCAGGTGTGGCGGGGAGGAACGTACAGACATCACTGTGCTGGGGACATGGTAGCATGGCTGTGCAAAGGTGTGTAAGGGGGCAATGAACAGATGTGGCTGTAAGAAGGCATGGCTGAGTGGCATGATGGAATGCTAAAACCATATTATAAAGTTGAACCACAAGGTGGGATTGTGTGTGACATAGCTTACTTGAGCTGGTAGCAGCTGTACCTGGCAGTGCATTAAAGTGTCTGAAAGAGAATACGTCTCTTAGTATCTCCCTGATGGAAGTTCTGTAGTCAGTCCAAATCCGGTACAGAAGCCTGACCTGCTAGTAGCAGGCAGCCTTGCAACCTACTGTGTACAAGGAGTACACATGACACAGGGAATGCAGACATGACAGTTGAAGGCAAGGGCAGAGATAGCATACAGATGTAGGTCATGGGTGTGCTCAGGCATGGCAATGAGGGAGTGGACAGACATGGCCATGCTCAGGCATTGCAATAGGAAAGGCAAATAGACACGGCTGTGCTCAGGCATGGCAGACTGGAAGCATACAGACATGGCTGTTGTCAGTTGTGGCAATGTGGAGGACACATGTGGCCATGGGATATGGAGAGTGCATTTAAAACAGTATTTTATTGTCACTCTTTTGTGTCCCCACACTACCACACTGGTCCTGTGTGACACTCTGAGACAACTACATTGTACCTAGTGATAATAAACCTTATTATTATTATGCATGAATTAATACAAATACATTTCACTATTTTTTCCCTGCCTTCAGTTTCCTCATGGATGGGGAAAATGGAAGATTCCGTCACTCCTATAGGTGCGAGATCACACCCGAGGCCTAAAAACCCTGTGTACGTAATACACCATTTCTGACTGAGGAGAGCTACAAGTCATGTCCCCTCCCTGTGCCTCAGTTTCCCCATCTATAAAACAGGGATGGCAATGCTTAGTTCCTTTGTCTATTGCTTTGAAATCTACAGATGAAAAGCACTATTTAAGAGCTAGATATTATTATTATTTAGGCATTGGGCTACAGTGTGTGCGTTGAAGGGAGGGAAGGGCTGAGATGTACCACACAAGTCCCTCTACAGCCCGCACTCCATTCTGGCAATGACAGCAGATCAACCCATTTGTGGTACCTTTTATCTACCCTGCCGCTCTCTATGCCAGGGTTCCTCCCCCCTCTGCCACTCTTCCATCAGAGTCCATTTGCCCTTTCTTAACCGCATCTCCGGCATCTTGTCCCCAGTGCTGCCTATCTGCTCCTCCCCTGCTCTGGATTCCTTTTGCCTCCTGCATAAACCCTAACCATCACCCCCGCCCTCCAAGCAGGTACTGGTAGCAACGAACTACGGGCAGACGTAGGGCAGCGCCTTCGCCGGCTCGTACTGAGCACGCGCAGGCGGCTCCGGCATGTTCCGACAAGCCGCGACGGGAGGCCCTTGCTGACTCTGCACCGGCCCCTGGCGGGATGAGATGACATCAGCTCGGCGGGACGGGCGCAGGCGGGACAACGCAGCAAAGAGGAGAATGTAAGTGTGGGTCGCTTATTGCGCTCCGCGGAGTAAAGGGGAGGGGCGACTTGCTAAGCCCCGGGGTGATAACAAGATGGCGGCCGGCCGGCCCGGTTCCTTTGCCGGAGCCTCTCTCCATCAAGGCGGGCGGGGCGCGGGGGATGGGCCTCCCTCGCGCTGGCGGCAGCACCTGCGGGGTCCGACAAACAAGGGGTTGCTGACAGCCTGACACCTGGCTCTGCTGCTGGGAGGGTGCGTGGGGCTGCCGCGCATAGGCTGCTGTGGGGCCCCCGTACGCAGGGAGGGGAAGGGAGGCTTTCCCCGAAAGCGGGCCCGCTCTATAAACTCCTCTACCAGTTTTTTCCAGTGAATGCATCCAATGAAGTGAGCTGTAGCTCATGAAAGCTTTTGCCCAAATAAATTTGTTAGTCTCTAAGGTGCCACAAGTACTCATTTTCTTTTTCCTCTACCAGGGACACTCCCCAAAGCCCCGCTCCCACGCAGCGGTCCCTCGCATGGCTGGAGGCTGGGCTGTGTTGGGGGGCTCCTGAGTGTGGAGGAGAGAGAGCTCTGCTCTGTGCTTGGGACCCCCTTTGCTTAGCACTTACCGTGAAGCGAACTTTGCTCGGTTGTTTGGGCTTCGGAAAAAATACTTTACCCACTTGCGCAAACGGCATCTAAATATCTACCACTGGTGTCAGGTAAACGTGATTAGTCTTGTTCAGAGGGCAGCTGGAACCCAGTTATCGACCAGAAGACTTTAGAGGTGTTAAGCAGGACTGGAGGCTCCAGTCTGGAGCCACCCTGAACTCTTACAGGATCATGTGGGAATTCAGTCTAACCCTCCAAGAACATCTTTAGAACAGCTGCTGTAATTTAGGAGTTGATCCAAGTCCCAGGCTTGTGATCAGCCTAAACTCTGTGGTGGTTCAGTGCACACCAGTTCTGGCATACCGTTACCAGCTGAGGCTTATAGTTAAAGGGGTGCAGTAAATTTAAAATGAATACTTATGTTTTTTTTCTTACTAGAGTTACAAGGAACACCTGAGATTATTATTCATGAAAGAGAAAGGAGGAAGATTCCTTTATGTATTTGATAGCATTTTATGTATAGTAATTTTCCCTGTTTCTGCCTATGTCTCGTCTTTTTGTTTTTGTGAAAGACCTACACACAGATGAGGGAGAAAGGAGAATTTGATTGTAAAATCTCAAAAACTGGCAGGAGGGACTTGAGCAAGAGTATTATTGGAAACTACTTAAAACTTTAGCTGATTAGGTTCTAAATTGATACTGTCACTTTTTAATAGGTAAGGACAGCAAGAAGAGTTATTGAACAGAATTTCTGTAGCTGTATCTTCATCACTGATTTAGATAATGGCATAGAGAGTAAGCTTATAAAGTTTGCAGACGATACCAAGCTGGGGGGGGGGGGGTTGCAAGTGCTTTGGAGGATAAGATTAAAATTCAAAATGGTCTGGACAAACTGGAGAAATGGTCTGAAGTAAATAGGATGAAATTCAATAAGGACAAATGCAAAGTATTCTATTTAGGAAGGAACAGTCAGTTGCATACATACAAAATGGGAAATGACTGCCTAGGAAGGAGTACTGCAGAAAGGGATCTGGGGGTCATACTAGATCACAAGCTAAATATTAGTCAACAGTGTAACGCTGTTGCAAAAAAAAAAAAGCAAACATCATTCTGGGATGTATTTGCAGGAATATTATAAGCAAGACATGAGAAGTAATTCTTCTGCTCTACTCTGCGCTGATTAGGCCTCAACTGGAGTATTCTGTCCAGTTCTGGGCGCCACATTTCAGGAAGGATGTGGACAAATTGGAGAGAGTCCAGAGAAGAGCAATAAAAATGATTAAAGGTTTAGAAAACATGACCTATGAGGGAAGATTGAAAAATTTTGGTTTGTTTAGTCTGGAGAAGAGAAGATTGAGAGGGGACATGATAACAGTTTTCAAGTATATAAAAGGTTGTTACAAGGAAGAGGGAGAAAAATTGTTCTTCTTAATCTCTGAGGATAGGACAAGAAACAATGGGCTTAAATTGCAGCAAGGGCGTTTTAGGTTGAACATTAGGAAAAACTTCCTAACTTTCAGGGTGGTTAAGCACTGGAATAAATTGCCTAGGGGGGTTGTGGAATCTCCATCATTGGGGATTTTTAAGAGCAGGTTGGACAAACACCTGTCAGGGATGGTCTGGTAATACTTAATCCTGCCTTGAGTGCAGGGGACTGGACTAGATGACCTCTTGAGGTCCCTTCCAGTTCTATGATTCTGTGAAACGGGCAGTACAGCATAATAGATACTGATGTACATGGCAGTGATTGGAAACGGCTGTTACAGGTTCTTGATATCAGGATCTCTTGTCCTCAAGTGATTGCCAAAATTCAAAGCGACACAGTATTGTAAAATTTCCGAAGGCCCAAATTTCATCTAATTTAAATGTTTTTAATTTGATATGGGGGATGGGGTGAGGGGATTATCTTCAGCCTAACTTACTTTAAGGTGTAAAGGCATTTTCTGAATACTTACAGTGTTGAGGGTTCCTTCCCCTTCTTCATCCCTTGTTTTGCCATATTTTTTATTTCTCTGTGTTGCTCCATGTTATTGTGGGTGTCATGCTTGTGACATGTGCTGATCTTTTAAATAATGTTGATGCACAAGCACATTTTATTTTGACAAATCAAGTGTTTGTTTTTTTTAAACAAAAACAATCATGCTAATTTCACTTATCCTCAAACAGAGGCAGATTGTTTCAGTGTTTTCCAAATCACAAAAATAAAATCAGCACAGGGGAAAAAAACCCTAGATTTTTTTTTAAAAAGAATGTATTTCAGATAATGGAGAGTAAAATGAAAGAAAGAATCTAGCAGTTACCTGATGGTTATTTTAAAAGCCTACATGACTTGCCCATGTTTTAAATATCTGTTTGAGTATACAGTGTATACACTGAAACTTATACAAACATAACATGGGGTTCAAGATGTGGAAAGTTTGACGTACCAGTCAGAAAGCAGGGGAATGGCACAACTGTAGCTTAAAAAAAGGTACAGTACTGCCATTTAACAGTGATGCATAGGAATTGTTGCACTGGGTCAGACGCAAGGCCCCTAATTTAGAATCCTGTCTCTAACAGTGGTCAGTACCAGATGCTTCAGAGGAGGTGCTTGTCAAAGAGACAGTTTTGAAAATTTAACATTTTATCTGTTCACATCATAGAGGGAGTCATTATATGACTACATAGATGAAATACATTTACAACTTTTAAATATCATGACAATAAAAACCTAAAATTGGATTTTGTCATAATCTGCCAAAGATTCTTCGCAATGTAAACAGTGAAAGCACATGTAGATTTACTGTGAAGCTGGCTTTAAGAAATATTTAATAAAACCTCATTTATTAAAAGATAATGTGTGTACCAGACTAAAGCAAGTAAAGAAATTCAGTGAAGCCCTTTTAAATAAATGCTTTATAAAGACCACTGGTGTAAATCATTCACTTTAGTGGGACAGCAAGAATGAAAGAGCCCTGCAGGATCATGCCATAAAGGAATAATATGCTATTTTCCAAAACTGTGGAATACACAAAGGGCATACCCTTCTTAGAAGTGTAACCAAAAAAACACACAAAAAACTGATGTAGACTAGTTTGAAATTGCTGTTTTATTTGTAACCTAGATCTCTTTATTTCAATTGAGATGCCTCTAATGAGGCAGATGGGAAGTCCTGGACCAAAATATTACCTCTTCTAAAAAGGTTTTAGATTTCCATCATTTGTATTTTCCTGTTATATTAGGAACATATTTCCCAATACAGTTGATTTGAATCAATTTACATATACTTTATGGCATTACTAATATATCTGCATGGAGATTTAAACTTTGCTATGGATTCCCTCTGTTAACCCTTTGGTTTTTCTGCCAGATGTTAAGCTATCTTTTAATAAAAAATCCTTTTAAACGTTTGATAAGGCATTTAGATGATAGTTGTACCTATAGATTTAAACTGGCATGCATGATGTAAATGCTATTTCATTTTCTAACTCTTCCAAAGATGATGAAATATTTATGTGTAGCATTAAAGTTAGAACATAGTTTTTTAAATATATATATGGCACAAAATAAAGTTAATGACTAGTTACATTTATTTTAACACAGGTATGAAAACTCCATGGGGTCAGCCAAAAATGTGATAAGTGAGACTGTTGATGTAGCAGAGAGTTATAACATGATGGTAAGTCACTCATGCAGTTCAACAGTGTTTTAAGATTTTTCTTGACCAAAAATAAATATTGTAGTTTGTTTGCAACTCTCAGCCCTTCTTCCCCCCACCCCGGCCTTAAATCAGTGGAAGTGCTCCTGGTGAGGATGCGCACCTCTGACAAAAGGAGGGTAGTGTGGGTGTCAACCACCACAGTAATTATTGCAGTGGCTGTAAGTTGACCTAACATAGGTCTACTTAAGTTTATAGTGTAGATATGTCCTGAGTGCGGAAAGGGAAAGAGGTCCCTTAGTACTGTATCAAGCAGCCATTTCTCTATTATGTTCTGAGTGGTGATAGCAAAACAGCACATGGAGAATAGGAGCAGAATGTACAGAGACAGGAGCACAGGTGATAGTGGGTAGAAACAGAGGAGACAGATGGGCTGCAGAGGGAGGAGAGGGATAGTTTTTTGTTTGTTTTTTAATAGCCACTACAGCAACCTCCCCTATTGAACCTGGAATTGAAACCAGAATTCTTGAATCTCAGCATTCCTTTCCTGGAGCAAATAGATGTGAAACCTGCCAGTGTAGGGGTTCCCAAACTTGGTTCACGGCTTGTTCAGGGTAAGCCCCTGGCGGGCTGCAAGACGCTTTGTTTATCAGAGCGTCCGCAGGTTCACGGCCTGTCAGGGGCTTAGCCTGAACATGCCGTGAATCAAATTTGGGAACCCCTGCTCTACTGGCTAGCCTTCATAAAGACTAACAGACTACTATTATCAATTACTCAGCTCACATTGTAGAAGTCTGGGCTGTGGATTAAAGGTGTGAACACTGCTGATGACCCACATAGGGAGTCAATATGATTCCACATGGTGGATTTTTTTTTTAGTTTGCTTTTTAAAAAAAATTAGGAAATGACATTTAAAAAATCTACAGTAAAGGAACATTCAGGTTGCAAAGTCAAGAACTCAAAAGTCATTAAATGCCAGAATTAAGATTGCCATACAATTTGAATTTGGAAGGTGTACAGTGAATGCAGTTGGGGACTGCAGGTAGAAAAAATATAGTGTCACTTGGCTGAAAATTCTATCCCTACTTCTGCCAGAGTTCTTATGCAATGCTTGGCAAATCACTTTAACCAAATTTTTTATAAGTTGCCATTAATTTGTTGTTCCTAATTTTCTAGTTGCTGAACTTGAGACACCTGGGACAAGACTTGCAGAAGTGCTGAGTGCTCACAACTGCAATTTGAAGTTGACTAGAGCTGTGCTTTGAACTTACTGTAAAAAGTGCCATACAAATGCTAAGTACAGCGAAAAATCAGGCCCTGGGCGTCTCAATTTCAGCACCCAAAATTAGTGGATGTTTTTAGTGTTGTAGCTGTGTTGGTCTCAGGATATTAGAGAGACAAGATGTGTGAGGTAATATCTTTTATTGGACCAACTTCAGCTGGTGAAAAAAAAAAAGCTTTTGAGTTTACCCACCGCTCTTCCTCAGGTTTGGGAGAGATAGGTGGCAGTTAACACCTCTGCCACCATAAGATAAAGGAGAGTTAGTGGGTTATAGATGGTTAGACAATGATGGGCCTAATAAAGACACTGAATTTAAGGTTCATTATAACAAAGTTATGAATTTAAGCTCCGAGGCTTATTTTTTTTAAGGTGTTGTGCAGGTTTCCTTTAAGTTTTTGTGAGTTTTGACCTGAATGTCTCTGTCCCTCTATTCTCCATCTGTAAAGTGGGGCTAATAATGCCACCTTGTGATAATGGTGTGAAGACAGATCCATTCATGTCTGTGACCCCTCAGGTACTTTGTTGAGCGCACCATAGAAAAGCCCATGAGAAATTTAGTGATTCATATATTCAGTTCAGGGTTTGGCTGATGTGTGATAAATTAGGCCTTGGGCTCTGCATTGTATGAAGAGGATAAGAAGAAATATTGAATAGCTGCCCATTCAGTGAACACCATTCCTGCTTTGCCTTGAATGAAGCAGGGGTCTTCTGAAAAATACAGTATGTGATCACGTAATTAAAGTCTTTATCTTAATGTATACTCACAAGGGGGCTAGATCAAGGTTGCTCAGGAAACCTTAAGTTTGACATTTCCTAACTTTTTTGAATGCTTGACTTTGTAACCTTAAAATTCTTTTAATATATTTTTTTATTTAATTTTACATATATATTAGAAGCATTTTTAAGAGTATCAAACTAAATCACAAAATGTTAGTAGTTACACTTGAGTCTTAGTAAGATTTTGCCTGCCTTGTCACAAATTATGTTGTTGTTTGGTTTGTACTGTAATTGTGCAGAGTTTTAGGGTATGTCCACACTGGCAGAGTTCAGCGCTGGCAGTTACAGCGTTGCTCAGAGAGCGCTGAAGGGAAACCACTGTTATGTGTTCACACTGTCAGCTGCCTGCACAATAGCGTGTTCACACTTGTGGCACTTGCAGTGGTATTCGGAGTGATGCACTCTGCTCAGCTATCCCACCAGAGCATCTCTTCCTCTTTTGCTGCTAAGAGTTGTGGGAAGGCGGAGGGGGTCGTGGGGCATCCTGGGTCCTGTCCCAATGCTCCGTGATGCATTGCTTCGCGTCCCAACCATCCCTGTGCTTCTGTCCGCATTTGGCGCCATCTTTCAACGGTTTGTGTACTGTACGCTCTGCTCTGCCTCTTTGGTCTGCAGGAATGGATCCCACACTATGGACCAATATGCTGCTCGCTCTCACTAACACATCACAAGTGGCAGTGGAGTTATTTCTTAAACTACAAAGGCAAGAGCAGTTCGACATTGATCTTGCCACGCGTAATAGATACGGCATGAGATTGCTTGTGGCATTCACGGAGGTGCTGGCCACAGTGGAACGCCACTTTTGGGCTTGGGAAACAAGCACTGAGTGGTGGGATCACATTGTCATGCACGTCTGGGATGACGAGCAGTGGCTGCAGAACTTTTGGATGAGGAAAGCCACATTCATGGGACTGTGTGATGAGCTCTCCTCAGCCCTGCGGTGCAAGGACATAAGAATGAGAGCTGCCCTGCCATTGGAGAAGTGCATGGTGATTGCACTGTGGAAGCTGGCTACTCCAGACTGCTACCGATCGGTTGCTAACCAGTTTGGGTGGGAAAGTTGACCGTTGGACTTGTGTTGACAGACATGTGCAGGGCCATTAATTGCATCCTGCTCCGAAAGACTGTGACTCTGGGCAACTTCTGTGATATTGTGGATGGCTTTGCACAGATGGGCTTCCCTAACTGTGGAGGGGCGATAGATGTACATGTATTCCAATTCTGACACCAGACCACCTAGCCACTGAGTACATTAATTGGAAGGGGTATTTCTTCATCAGTCTCCTGGCGCTTGTGGATCACCGTGGGCGTTTCACGGACATTAACGCAGGCTGGTCTGGAAAGGTACATGACGCACGCATCTTTTGGAACACTGACTGGTTCAGGAAGCTGCAGGCAGGGACTTTCTTCCCAGACCAGATCACTGTAGGGGAAGTTGAAATGCCCACTGTGATCCTGGGAGACCCTGCCTTCCCCTTAGTGCCATGGTTTATGAAGCCATACATGGGGCACCTTGACAGCAGCAAGGATGGTTCAACAACAGTCTGAGAAAGTGCAAGAATGACTGTTGAGTGTGCTTCTGGCCATTTAAAGGCCTGCTGGCATTGCCTATATGGTAGGCTGGACCTGGCTGATGACAATATTCCTGTGCGTATAGCCGCGTGCTGTATGCTCCATAATATTTGTGAAAAGAAGGGTGAAAGCTTCACTCAGGGCTGGAGTGCGGAGGTAAGCGCCTGGAGGCTGAATTTGAACAGCCAGAGACAAAGGTTATTAGAGGGGCACAACACAGGGCCATAAGGATCAGGGATGCTTTGAGGCAGCAATTTGAAGCTGAAAACCTGTAATATTTGTTGCTATGCTTGGGAGTGCAGTGCTTGTAATGCTAGGAGGTGATTGTGATTGGTGCAGACGATGCACTATGAAGGTTTAAGAAAATAGCCTGTTGCTTTGCATGGCTCTGTTTGCTTTCAATTAATGGAATGAAGATTGCTTTCAAACCAACTGAATTCTTTTATTAAAAAACAACGACCGGAGGAGGGAGAGAGACATAAAGACACATCAACACTGAGGGGGATGGGGGAAGGGAGGGTCCCAGGAGGAGGTGGGGGCCCGGGACGGTTAAAGATTTGTGTATGTCCAGGTATCATACCTAGCCTTCTCCTTTGGAGTACAGTGCAGCGGGTACTGTACTTCAGCAGGGCTAAACTGCAGAGGGACGGGTGTTGAGTGCAGTGAGTACTGGGAGTCCGCAGCGCTGGACTGTGACGGGGGAGGAGTGGAATGTAGCGGATACAGACTGGAGCCAGGAGGTTGATAAGAATGTGCTGGTGGTGTCTGGGGGGTGCATGGGAAAGAGTTTTGCGACAGCAGGTGCAGGGGCGGGCGGGCACAGAGCTGCTCGGTTTGCAGTGCTCATAGCACCTGGAGCGTGTCCGGTTGGCCCTCCATAACGTTTAAGAGCCGCTCCATGGCTTTGTTCTGGCGTGCCACGTTCTCCTTTTGGTCGCTCTTCTCGCGGTCCCGCCACTTCTTCAATTCTTGTTTTTCTGCCGCGGGGTGCATCATCACATCACGCAGAAAGTCCTCTTCAGTTTTTCATGGCTGCTTTCTAATTCTGCGCAGCCGTTCAGCCAGCGATAACAAAGAGCGAGGCTGGGCTCCCAAGGTCATATCTGTAAAGCCAAAATGCAACATTTTACAGAAGCGGTATTGTTTGCAACACACAGACCACTGATTCAGTGATTTAAAACACAGCCACTATTCACATACCTATTAGGGTATGTCTACACTACGAAATTAAGTCGAATTTATAGAAGTCGGTTTTTTAGAAATCGGTTTTATATATTCGAGTGTGTGTGTCCCCACAGAAAATGCTCTAAGTGCATTAAGTGCATTAACTCGGCGGAGCGCTTCCACAGTACCGAGGCAAGCGTCGACTTCCGGAGCGTTGCACTGTGGGTAGCTATCCCACAGTTCCCGCAGTCTCCGCTGCCCATTGGAATTCTGGGTTGAGATCCCAATGCCTGATGGGGCTAAAACATTGTCGCGGGTGGTTCTGGGTACATATCGTCAGCCCCCCGTTCCCTCCCTCCCCCCCCCCCCCCGTGAAAGCAAGGGCAGACAATCATTTCGCGCCTTTTTTCCTGAGTTACCTGTGCAGACGCCATACCACGGCAAGCATGGAGCCCGCTCAGCTCACTTTGGCAATTAGGAGCACATTAACCACCACACGCATTATTCAGCAGTATATGCAGCACCAGAACATGGCAACGCGATACCGGGCGAGGAGGCGACGTCAGCGCGGTCCCGTGAGTGATCAGGACATGGACACAGATTTCTCTGAAAGCATGGGCCCTGACAATGCATGCATCATGGTGCTAATGGGGCAGGTTCATGCTGTGGAACGCCGATTCTGGGCTCGGGAAACAAGCACAGAGTGGTGGGACCGCATAGTGTTGCAGGTCTGGGACGATTCCCAGTGGCTGCGAAACTTTCGCATGTGTAGGGGCACTTTCATGGAACTTTGTGACTTGCTTTCCCCTGCCCTGAAGCGCATGAATACCAAGATGAGAGCAGCCCTCACAGTTGAGAAGCGAGTGGCGATAGCCCTGTGGAAGCTTGCAACGCCAGACAGCTACCGGTCAGTTGGGAATCAATTTGGAGTGGGCAAATCTACTGTGGGGGCTGCTGTGATGCAAGTAGCCCACGCAATCAAAGATCTGCTGATATCAAGGGTAGTGACCCTGGGAAATGTGCAGGTCATAGTGGATGGCTTTGCTGCAATGGGATTCCCTAACTGTGGTGGGGCTATAGACGGAACCCATATCCCTATATTGGCACCGGAGCACCAAGCCGCCGAGTACATAAACCGCAAGGGGTACTTTTCGATAGTGCTGCAAGCTCTGGTGGATCACAAGGGACGTTTCACCAACATCAACGTGGGATGGCTGGGAAAGATGCATGATGCTCGCATCTTCAGGAACTCTGGTCTGTTTCAAAAGCTGCAGGAAGGGACTTTATTCCCAGACCAGAAAATAACTGTTGGGGATGTTGAAATGCCTATATGTATCCTTGGGGACCCAGCCTACCCCTTAATGCCATGGCTCATGAAGCCATACACAGGCAGCCTGGACAGTGGTCAGGAGCTGTTCAACTACAGGCTGAGCAAGTGCAGAATGGTGGTAGAATGTGCATTTGGATGTTTAAAGGCGCGCTGGCGCAGTTTACTGACTCGCTTAGACCTCAGCGAAACCAATATTCCCACTGTTATTACTGCTTGCTGTGTGCTCTACAATATCTGTGAGAGTAAGGGGGAGACGTTTATGGCGGGGTGGGAGGTTGAGGCAAATCGCCTAGCTGCTGGTTACGCGCAGCCAGACACCAGGGCGGTTAGAAGAGCACAGGAGGGCGCGGTACGCATCAGAGAAGCTTTGAAAACCAGTTTCATGACTGGCCAGGCTACGGTGTGAAAGTTCTGTTTGTTTCTCCTTGATGAACCCCCCCGCCCCTTGGTTCACTCTACTTCCCTGTAAGCTAACCACCCTCCCCTCCTCCCTTTAATCATTGCTTGCAGAGCCAATAAAGTCATTGCTGCTTCACAGTCATGCATTCGTTATTCATTCATCACACAAATAGGGGGATAACTACCAAGGTATCCCAGGAGGGGTGGTGGAGGAGGGAAGGAAAATGCCACACAGCACTTTAAAAGTTTACAACTTTAAAATTTATTGAATGACAGCCTTCTTTTTTTTGGGCAATCCTCTGTGGTGGAGTGGCTGGTTGGCCGGAGGCCCCCCCACCGCGTTCTTGGGTGTCTGGGTGTGGAGGCTGTGGAACTTGGGGAGGAGGGCGGTTGGTTACAGAGGGACTGCAGTGGCAGTCTGTGCTCCAGCTGCCTTTGCTGCAGCTCAACCATACACTGGAGCATACTGGTTTGGTCCTGCAGCAGCCTCAGCATTGAATCCTGCCTCCTCTCATCACGCTGCCGCCACCTTTGAGCTTCAGCCCTGTCTTCAGCCCGCCACTTACTCTCTTCAGCCCTCCACCTCTCCTCCCGGTCATTTTGTGCTTTCCTGCACTCTGACATTATTTGCCTCCACGCATTCGTCAGTGCTCTGTCAGTGTGGGAGGACAGCATGAGCTCGGAGAACATTTCATCGCGAGTGCGTTTTTTTTCTTTCTAAGCTTCACTAGCCTCTGGGAAGGAGAAGATCCTGTGATCATTGAAACACATGCAGCTGGTGGAGAAAAAAAAAGGGACAGCGGTATTTAAAAAGACACATTTTATAAAACAGTCGCTACACTCTTTCAGGGTAAACCTTGCTGTTAACATTACATACATAGCACATGTGCTTTCGTTACAAGGTCGCATTTTGCCTCCTCCCACCGCGTGAACGGATTTTGGTTGAATGCCAGCAAACATACACTGCAATGCTTTGTTCTACAGTGATTCCCGAGTACGTGTTACTGGCCTGGAGTGGTAAAGTGTCCTACCATGAAGGACGAAATAAGGCTGCCCTCCCCAGAAACCTTTTGCAAAGGCAGAACCGCAAATGCCAGGGCAAAGTAATCCTTTCACATGCTTGCTTTTAAACCATGTATAGCATTTTAAAAGGTACACTCACCAGAGGTCCCTTCTCCGCCTGCTGAGTCCAGGAGGCAGCCTTGGGTGGGTTCGGGGGGTACTGGCTCCAGGTCTAGGGTGAGAAACAGTTCCTGGCTGTCGGGAAAACCGGTTTCTCCGCTTGCTTGCTGTGAGCTATCTACAACCTCCTCCTCATCATCTTCTTCGTCCCCAAAACCTACTTCCGTATTGCCTCCATCTCCATTGAAGGAGTCAAACAACACGGCTGGGGTAGTGGTGGCTGAACCCCCTAAAATGGCATGCAGCTCATCATAGAAGCGGCATGTTTGGGGCTCTGACCCAGAGCGGCTGTTCGCCTCTCTGGTTTTCTGGTAGGCTTGCCTCAGCTCCTTCAGTTTCACGCGGCACTGCTTCGGGTCCCTGTTATGGCCTCTGTCCTTCATGCCCTGGGAGATTTTCAGAAAGGTTTTGGCATTTCGAAAACTGGAACGGAGTTCTGATAGCACAGATTCCTCTCCCCAAACAGCGATCAGATCCCGTACCTCCCGTTCGGTCCATGCTGGAGCTCTTTTGCGATTCTGGGACTCCATCATGGTCACCTGTGCTGATGAGCTCTGCATGGTCACCTACAGCTTGCCACGCTGGCCAAACAGGAAATGAGATTCAAAAGTTCGCGGTTCTTTTCCTGTCTACCTGGCCAGTGCATCTCAGTTGAGAGTGCTGTCCAGAGCGGTCATAATGGAGCACTCTGGGATAGCTCCCGGAGGCCAATACCATCGAATTGTGTCCACAGTACCCCAAATTCGAGCCGGCAACGTCGATTTAAGCGCTAATCCACTTGTCAGGGGTGGAGTAAGGAAATCGATTTTAAGAGCCCTTTAAGTCGAAATAAAGGGCTTCATTGTGTGGACGGGTGCAGGTTTAAATCGATTTAACGCTGCTAAATTCGACCTAAAGTCCTAGTGTAGACCAGGGCTAACTGACTGACCCCAGGCAAGCACACATGAGCCCCAAGACCCCCAAAATAGTGAGTAACTGCAGGGGTAGGGGAAATCAGTGTTCCAGGACCGTACTGTACACTGGGCGCGTGGCTCTTAGGGAGAGCCAGCACAGTAAGGGGGGGCCTGATAATCATGCCTGCCCCACATTTTCCACAGGCTGTGTTAATTATGGAAGATATCTTGCCGCTGAGGGTGAGCAGGGAATCAAGGGAGGGTCTTCTCCAAGACTGCGGCTTCCACCCTGGCCCTTACGCAGCTTACCTGTGTGCTGCAATGCTCACCCCCTCCCCTCCCTGTGATGGCACAGTGGCATGGGAAAGTTGCCGTTAATGGGGCAAGAAACAAAGCAGCTCTGCCAAAGAACTCGCAGCAGTGGATTGTCCAGTATCTCCATGAGACTTTCCTGTAGATCTCTGAGGGAGATTCCCATGAAGTGAGGGAGTCAATCAACACCTTGTTCTGCTGCTCAGCCTAGGCATGTGGTGGTACGCGCATCATACAGAGACAAGCCTGATTTCTGCAACTCTCCTGCCCCCAACAACTCACTTCAGTGATTCCCAAAATCAAAGCCACTTGCCAGGGGTCTTTTCTCCTGTTTCCGCTTCGCCAAGCTCCGACAGCTGTGACTGGCTAGGGTCTTCCGAGGCAGAGAAGAGCTCCTGGCTGCATGCATCTCTGACTTCAGAGTTGTCCTCTGCCTCTAAGTCGCCCTCCACATCCTCCTCCCAGATTTCCTCCTCCTGGCTCGGTCCACTCTCGACTGGCATGCGAGTCACCGAAGTATCCACAATGGCCTTCTCATTGGAGATGAGGTCACCACCGAGTATCATGTCCAGCTCTTTGTAGAACTGGCAGCTCGTGGGTGCAGCAGCGGTTTGCCTCCCATGTCTGTGGTAGGCGTTCCACAGCTCCTTCACTTTGACCCTGCAATGCAGTGTGTCTCAATTATGGCCCCTTTCTGTCATGCATCGTGAACTCTGTCCGTAGGTATTATAATTCCTACAGCTGGAACTAGACAACCTCCTCTCCCCAAATGCTGATGAGGTCCAGCAGCTTGGCATTGCTCCAAGCAGGGAATCGCCTGGTGTGTGGAGCAGGCATGGTCACTTGGAAAGATGCGCTGAGACCACTGCATGCGTCACCAAGCAAACAGGAAGGGGACTTTCAAAATTCCCAAGGAATTTAAGGGGTGGGGCTCATGGTTAGTCACCTGAGGGCTGGGCAGTTGAGTTCAAACCGATGACCAGAGAGGCGAGAACAGTCATTGTGGGACACCTCCTGGAGGCCAATCACAGTGCTGTAACTGACCAGTGTGTCTACACTGACACCGCGGCACTGTAGCCCCAGTGCAGAAAGCTGTACGCCTCTCATCAGGGTGTTTTTTTTTTTTTTACAGCGTTGCAACTGCAGTTTCTGTGCACTAAGTAGCTTGGTAGTGTGTACCACTCGGGAGTTACAACGCAGAAAGCTGCTGTACTGCACAGCAACTTGCCAGTGTAGATAAGGCCTTAGTATGTAACCATAATACAGGTGTGTATTGCCAGTGTCAACATTTTCAGTGCTTAGAGGGACTTGCCAATGATAAGGAGTTGCCTGAACAAAGACCTGGTTAGCAACAACTAATTTATAACACCTTCCGACCTTATTAACAGTTGGCTTTAAGTGATCTCTGGGTTGGAAAGCTAATGCTGAACAAGTTGGCAATTCCTGGACAAGTTGGTTAGTTACATGAAGATCTGTTTTTGTTAATATTGGAGAACATTTTTGCTAAGCATTAAAAGGGACATCTAGAAATTTTGTGGTACAAGTTTATCATAATTAATGATGATGGAAAACAAATCTGCATACAAACTCTACTTCTATTCTGTATGTATATTTTACATTTATTTCTTTGAGCAGCCTGTTTTAATCCCAGTTAATGTATCTTCAAGAGCAATATAAGTATTTTTCATAGTGAAATTTTGCAATGACGTAGCATTCTCAAAGTAACCAAATTAATAGATTTGTAAATGATGTTTTTGAAATATAAGAGGGAAATAAAAAAAAAGAAATGTCAGAATATGTCAGTTAATTATGATATTCTCAAAGTCTAGTTCTTTACTGCTAAATTTAATTCTGCAAAGATGGTCTGTTGGTAGGGTAGTTTATCAAATAAAACATTTGTTAAAAAGGTATTGCATTTATCTTTATGATTTCAGTAGTGCATGTGTAACTGAATGGAGGGCATAATGTTAGTTTCATATCTGACACTTCTTTTATACTATTAGGTGTTATCTTTAAAAGAGAACACAAGTTAATTATAAAAGTTTGATATGTATAATTCTGTTTGATATTCTATAATTCTGATTAGTTTAAATCATATTTACCATAGCAAGTTGTAATACTGGAAATCCTAAAACTAGAAATCTAAGTTTGGTACCTGCATCTCATTTAATTAAAGGATAAAACTGCTCTTTTAAAGAGTAATAAATGCTTTTCTCAAAGTGAAAACAAAATAAAATAATCTCAATCCCCCCCCCCCCGCCAATGCTGTTAGTGAAGATCAGGAACAAGATATTTTACCTGAAGATGTGTTTTACTGGACTAATTTGGCAAATTCAGGTAAATCCTGAGCATACAAGAGTTGCACAACTTTTATCAGCACATGGAAATTGTAAAGTTAAGCAACTGGTACAATGTTAAGTGAGCATGAGCTGTAGCTCACGAAAGCTTATGCTCAAATAAATTGGTTAGTCTCTAAGGTGCCACAAGTACTCCTTTTCTTTTTGCGAATGTTACCATACATCGGCTTTCAACTGTATTTTTAAGAAATAGATCAAAGAAAGATTCTATTTTTAAATGGGTTTGATATTTGAATTTGCCCTCCATAAAATAAATGTATGTAACCAAGATGTAAATTTAAACTCTACATGTAAATTCATATTTTTTGTTTAATTTCATGCACTTCTGTAAATGTCTGTTGGCTGCATTCCATTATGGTCCGCCTCAATTTGACATTTACCATAGATGAGTGTCATCAGTGATTTATAGCATAGGACACTTTCAGATCACTAAAAAGGAGTTCACAACTCTGTGTGATCTCCCAGAAGATAAATTCTTTATCATGAAACCGCCAAGCATTGTGGGTGGGGCAGGGAAGAAAAAACATTATTTTCTGGGAGTATATAGGCTATGAAAGAGTTTCTGAGACCAGTTTCTTTTTTTATGTATTACTTTTATATTGTCTTGAGGGAATGCTAAGAAATTATATTTTTAATAGAGATTTAAGACATCTCTATTATGTGCCAGAGTCTGCTGTTCAAGAACCTTTAAAGAACACTTTGCAACAAGAGACTTTCAACAAATATTTTAAGTACCTTTTTAATCTGATGTAGCAATTTGCCAAAGTTTTACAAACAACAGGAATGGCACTGTTTACAATTCTAAGCCTTTTTGCAGTATTTTTTCCAATCCTGAAGAACAGTACAATTTTAAAAAGCTCAGCTCCACAGGTCTGTTTTTTATCAGTGATGTGATGCAGGAAATCCTCTAGACTATTAACAGTGAGGAATCTTCCCATGGATACTGTGCAACCTCATTTCCAGTTGAAGTCAATGGGAGTTGAGAATGCTGAGCAGCTTGCAAGAAATGCTTAGACCGTAACGGAGGAGAGAGTGGAAATTGCTCCTCAGATTTTCAGTGTGTGCGCGCAGTGGGCGGAGAGTGGGAAGATACAGTTCAATTTTTGCTGTTTCCCTGCCTCAAAGTTTAGGTTTTCTGTTTCTCATACTAATAGCTTTTTGTTTCTGTACATGTGATGTGTCTTTTTTCTGTTGAAAGTAAAACAACATGTATTACCACATTAAAAATGTATTTAGTGATAATTAAAGTTGCAACAGGACATACCTCCATCACCCAAAACCTTAAGAATGCAAATAAGTTACAGAAAAGGCCTCCAGCATTTCTTGCCACCTTTGCCATCACCTACAATGTTGTCAGTAATTGACTCTGATATTCCATAAAGCATTTCCTCTGTCTTTAACAGATACCCAAAACCAATATGTTCCCCAACTTCATCCAATTCGTGCTCTTATGCAAAACCTTAATCGTGACCTCATACTCTCTCACCAACAGATCAGCACATCTGACTGTTATGCAGTCCATTAATTTGGAATGTTATTCTATCTTACCATGGCTGGGACTGTGCAGGATCCCCCTGGGGTGCAGCTTGGGACTGTGGGATCTCTGAGCCCCCTTAACTCTCCCCAGCCTGGGCTGTCTCTCACAATGCCTTGTTAGTGACCAGCAGCAAGCCCCTCCAGGCTCTGTGATCACTCAGCACAACAGCATGTGGAGTCCCACATCCAGTTATATTGCATGAATGCTCCCAGAGCCACTCATGAATCACACAGAGAAAGGCACCAGCCTAATCCTACCCGGCTCCCAGCACTGTACCAGGAATATACCATGTTGCACTGCTCAGATGAGCAAAGATAAACAGTAAAACAAATTTGACTAAAAAAGATAGATTTTAAGTGATAGGCAAAAAGTCAGAGTTAGTTACCAAAAGAAATAAAATATAAGCATGCAGTCTAAACTCTCAACCCTATTAGACTGGGCAACATCTAGATTAAACAGTTTTTCTCACCCCACTGGATATTGCAGTCCTTAGTATACAGGTTTGTTTCTTAAACATGGGCCAATCTCCTCTGTTGGAGTCTTGTTCTCTTTTTGGACAACGCTTTAACGTTGCTAGTGAAGACGTGCCCTTAGTTGCTTGCAGCATAGGTTGGGGCAGGAGAAAAGGCCAGCATGGCCATTCTGACTGTTTTATACCCTCCATGTGCTTGGAAAACCCAAGTCCAGCATGCCTGGGGCATTGCTGAGTCTCCCAGCAAGGTTGAGCAGTTCCCCTGGTGTGGCCTCATGCAGGTGAGTCATTGCATTGTAGCTCCCTTGCTGGACAATGGTTGCTGATGGGTTGATTGATACCCTGCTGGGGTGTTGGTTACTTTCCTTGCTGTTGCCTCTGGGGAGCTAATATCTGGCTGATTCCCCAGTTTACAGCATGTTTTAATGACAACCATACAACACAATTCTCATAACTTCATATGCATATATGGATAGAGAAATGACTTTCAGCGGATCATAACCTTTCCCGTTACCTTACAAGGCATGCTTTATATGCAAGATCACATTCATGTATAAATGAGGAATATGGGGGTTCCAGGACGCTCCCCCAAGGTACGGAATGTTTCAGGGACCATGGCTAAGTTTTGCTTGACAGTGCAAGATGGATGAAATTGACTGTCTTGTCTTGATTAGAGAAATGTCTTAGTACACATATACAGAGAATGTTAATGAAGTAGAGAACCCCTGTAATACCTCATACCTCAGTGCATATTAGCTATTTACAATGAAATA